ACTGATCTGATCATGGAGGACGGCGTCTGCAAGGGTGTTGTCGCATACAACCAGGAAGACGGAACCATCCACCGATTTATCGCAAAGAACACCGTCTTGGCCACTGGTGGTTACGGACGTGCCTACTTCAGCTGCACATCCGCCCACACCTGCACTGGTGACGGTATGGCTATGGTTGCTCGCGCAGGTCTTCCCAACCAGGATCTGGAATTCGTCCAGTTCCACCCCACTGGTATCTACGGTGCTGGTTGCTTGATCACTGAAGGATCCCGTGGAGAGGGTGGTTACCTTCTCAACTCCGAGGGTGAACGGTTCATGGAGCGTTACGCACCAACTGCCAAGGATCTTGCCTCCCGCGATGTCGTATCCCGATCGATGACCCTGGAAATCCGTGAGGGCCGTGGTGTCGGACCGGAGAAGGACCACATCTACCTCCAGCTCAGCCATCTGCCCGCCGAGGTCCTTCACGAGCGTCTACCCGGTATCTCTGAGACTGCCGCCATTTTCGCTGGTGTCGATGTCACCAAGCAGCCCATCCCTGTTCTTCCTACCGTGCACTACAACATGGGTGGTATCCCCACCAAGTACACTGGTGAGGTCATCACCCAAGACGCTCAGGGTAACGACCAGGTCGTCCCAGGTCTGTTCGCTTGCGGAGAGGCTGCCTCTGTCTCTGTCCACGGAGCCAACCGTCTCGGTGCCAACTCCCTCCTCGACCTTATCGTTTTCGGTCGTGCTGTTTCTCACACCATCCGTGACAACTTCAGCCCCGGCCAGAAGGCTGACCCCGTCTCCGCCGATGCCGGTGCCGATTCCATCTCCGTCCTCGACCAGATCCGCACATCTGACGGCGCCAAGTCGACTGCCGAGGTCCGTCTCCAGATGCAGAAGGTCATGCAGACCGATGTCGCCGTCTTCCGAACCCAAGAGTCGCTCGACGAGGGTGTCAAGAAGATCCACGATGTCGATGCCGACTTCGCCAACGTTGGTATCAAGGACCGCAGCATGATCTGGAACTCCGACCTTGTTGAGACTCTTGAGCTACGCAACCTCCTCACCTGCGCCGTACAGACTGCCGAATCCGCCGCCAACCGTAAAGAGTCACGAGGTGCTCACGCCCGTGAGGACTTCCCCGACCGTGACGATGACCAGTGGATGAAGCACACATTATCGTGGCAGAAGAAGCCGCACGGCGAGACTCAATTAGGTTACAGGAAGGTTGTTGGTACCACTTTGGACGAGGCTGAGTGCAAGGCTGTACCACCATTCAAGCGTACATACTAGAGGATTGGTAATTTGGAAAGGAAATGAAGGATGTATTTTGTATTCTATGTACATCGGATGATGGATTGCATGTTTTAGCATGTTTAAGAGCGAAAGCTGTTTAGGATTGAGAATCGAATCATTCAAGTTCATGTTGTTATGTCTTGTCCGTGGTATCAGCATGTGTAAGCGCTACGTAGTGCTTCAGTACCTGCTCTCAGTGGATGGTATAACTCCCCTGGCGCATGAAGCACTCCTTCCCTGCTTGACTGTATTGTTGTGGTGGCCCGTTGTTCTTGGCAAGTGCGCCAGCTCACCCACACAGCACGACAACACCAGCTTTTCGACCACAACACGAGCGTCGCCACCTTCAACGCCGGGCAATGAATACTGTTCCAACCAAACAGGGAACAGGGATTTCGCTTCGACGTTCGTGCACCCACACTCATCGCGAACCGAACATGGCTCCTGCCGTGTATAAGCCAGGCTGGCTTCTAGCCTGGTCTATCGTTACCCGAGGGCTGAAGTGGCTGGAGTGGCTGTCACCACGCCAGATGGGGATCCGCTCATGGCAATAACAACACCTTGAGAGTTTCTCGCACTCTGGCACATCACCATGGCGGAGCCTGTGTCAGAAATCGTGTTTTTACAAGTTGTGAATTCCAAGGCGGAATGCGCGAAGAATGCTTGCACGCAGGCAAACCTATTTCGGTCACGCATCGTCCCGGGAGGCCGCAGCTAGGCCCTCAGCTCTCTGCAAGAACCCATTTCACGCACGTTCATCAGCCCCCATCTGCGCCGGAGGTCTATCGCAGCCGCCACCAAGCCGAGTTCAGGCGGCACAATGGTTCTAAGTCTGCCATGCTTCAGCCTTCTCGATAAGAAATTTATGGGGGGCTTGAACTTATTAGAGGCTACTTCTCAGCCTTTTCCGATGAAATTGTTACTCGAGTTCCGTGTCAAAAGGCGAACACTGTTTCTCTCTCCCATTTTATTCTCCTCGCTGAATGCGGCACCATTATTATAATATCAATACTTTCACCTCGTGGAATCTGGCATACACTTCTAGGCAAGGAATCGAAGGCTTTTGAGCTATTATGGATCCATTCCAAGACCACCACATAGCCTCTGTTACTTCTGGGTTAGCAGGGCGTCGATTATCGTTGTCCCAGACATCTCCCTCTTGGTCAACTTCATCATCGACAAGATCGTATCCGCCAGATGATGATCAAGACTTTGAACCCGAAAGATCGCCCTGTTCTCTCGGTGCAGAGGCGTTCGATGGAGGAACTGAACTGACGTACTATCCGTAAGTGCTATGTTCATACCATCATCATCTTCCGGTGGAGCTTACAGGCAGACAGATCATACCGAACAGGCAATCCAGACACTCAGACCTTGCTCAAAATCCAGAATGCCAGGTCTTCATTTTCGTCAGTCACGTCTTCATCCTCTTCAGAAGCGGACGATGATCGGCCCACCCAAAGAATGCACCAGATGAACGTGTTCGTCAAAGCTTTCTGGAAACTACCAGTCATTCGTGACATAACCTGGCCGTTTCAGTGGCTCAGCCGCCGATTCAAAGACGTCTCTTCGAACAGCCGGTTCCACGGTTGGCGTATGGGTGTTCTATTAGGCTCCTTTGCTTCGTCGCTTGTTCTTTGCTGCAACATAGGCATCCTGGTGTTCGGCTCACTACGGCACGGCTCTGCGGACAACTTTACCGTGCTATCAACTGGAAAGGCCAAGGACATGTCTTGGTGGTCTAGCGCTATCCACATCGTGATCAATGCGCTCAGTACAGTTCTTCTAGCTGCTTCCAACTATACCATGCAGGTTCTGAGCTCGCCAACAAGAAGAGATATTGATCGAGCTCACTCTGCACGCCATTGGCTTGATATCGGGATTCTTAGCGTTCATAACTTCAGCTATATCCCAACCCGACGGAAGCTTCTGTGCATCATCATGGTAATGTCCTCTATACCTATACACTTATTGTAGGTTTATATCAACTTTTCATCGGATCAGTTTGATGGCTTACCAGTCTCAGCTACAACTCTGCAGTCTTTTACATCGGAGCAGACAATAAGTACAACATCTCCCTGCTACCAACAGACTCTATTGAGTACGAAAGTCTATCGCTTCAGGCAGATACAGCCACCAAGGACGATCGCAATGTAACACTCGACAATAGCAGAATAGACAGTGCATACCATGTGGAAACCAGTTTCCATGAATATGGAGACTTGTACCTTGCGATCGACGGCTACTTTCATGGAAATAAGTCAGAGCTTCCAGAACTGGGTGAGAATGGCTGGCCGTTTAGCGGTCCAGAAGTACTTTGGAATCCAAACGCATCCTGGCCCTTTGAAATAGAACACGATTTATACCTCAACCGAAGTATCATCAATGGCACTTGGACGTACGTCAGGATTAATTCGACAATCACCGCCTCTACGGAAGACGGCAACCAGATGTGGGCTCGTTACACTCACGGATTTGCAGAGTATCACGTCAAAACATCCAGTCGCATCGAGCTAAGTCTCACCTTCATGGCGATCGTGATCGTCTGTAACGTCGTGAAGCTGTTTACGATGTTGTGGGTGGTATTCATGGAAAACCTGGACTATATCGTTACTGTCGGAGATGGGGCAGCCTCATTTCTGGCGTACCCCGACTCAACGACCAGGGGCATGTGTGTATCAACCAGACACGAAGTCATCGCCAAAGTTGGGGCTGTCACAGACATTTCAAAAGAGGATCAAGATCTACTTGGGATTATAATTCGTAAATGTGGCAATCTTTGGGCCAAACGACGCAGTCAATACTCCACTGCCCTCGACAGAGATCGAGTATATACCTCGTATGCCATGTAAGTTCACCTGGAACTATGAACTCAAAAAGGGCGAAGTTAACGTCTTACTAGCTATGCAATTGGTTGTGCGCTCTTCTACGGTCTAGTGATACTACTCTCGACTCTAGGACTCACAAGTCCTAGATGGGGATCCGCAAGCCTTACCGCGTTCCGCCAAACTGAAACGTCCGCCCAGGCCACACTTTTGAACGCGTGGCTTGCCAATATCGCCCAGTTGGTGCTTTCCTACTTTTATCTCGCTATCAACAGCGAGTGTACCGCTATGGCTGGAGCTGCGGAGTGGAATAACCTGGCAGTCTCGCGCAAAGGCCTACGCGTAACTCGTCCCGTCGGGGATCAACGCGAGAAGTACATTCTCCAGCTGCCATATCGTTGGTCCCTTCCTCTAGCTGCAGTGAGCGGTGGTTTACATTGGCTCTTATCCCAGAGCATCTTTATTGTCCGTATCGACGCTTATGACCGGGAGGGATGGATCATGCAAGAAGATTCTCAGTCCGCAATCGGGTTTTCGGCAATAAGCTTTATAACTTTGATTCTCTGCTTTTACGTCCTTGTAGGATCCGTAGCGTGGATAGGGCGAAGACAGATGAGGGTTCGCATACCCTTCGCGGCATCCTGTAGTCTAGTCATGAGTGCGGCATGTCATCCACCACCAGACGACGTCGATCCTCACTTGCGACCTGTGCAGTGGGGCGTCACGGAGGGTGATATGTTTGAAGGGGAAAAGCATTGTTCACTTTCATCGAAACCTGTAACGAAACCGAAGGTTGGAGAGAAGTATCTTTGAGTAATTAGCAAGAAGAGTTTATTTTGACTATGAATTCATGAAAAACTTCGTGCGCTTGCATCCAAATCACAAGTATTAACGTCGCGCGAAGCCAAACCAGCCCCTCCGCGGCTCAGTGACAACCGGCGCAGTCTCTACATCCTCCGCCGCTAACTCGCTTACCGACTGCTGCGCCGATGCTATCGAATTCGTTGAAGCGAACGAAGACGTCTGCGCCATCATCGGACTCTTGCCAGGCCGCCACATGATCGGAAGATCCTTGAGCTTATGACCCTTCTCCATGAGCGGGATTTCGCTTTCCAGATCAGTCCAATTCCGGTGGCCTTCGCCCTCGTAGGCTCGACGTTGCAGTTGCCACACTCCATCTTGTGTCCAGCGTGCGATGCGTGGGCCGAGTGCGCGGCGGAAGCGAGTGAGGTAGACGAGGAATTTGAGGAGCGTGATGTCGATGATTGCGACGAGGACGGAGAAGGCAATGATGAACGAGAGACCGAAGACGTTGATGTTACTAGCATGAGTTAGAACGAATTTCGGGTGCTGCGGAAGCAAGTGAGTGTACTTACACAAATCCACCTGACTTTCTCATCTTCTGAGCTCCACAAAGAGCTTTTTCGCCTTCTGTCTCTGGTTTGAGAAAGACGTCGTCTTTGAACGGGTCGCCGAATTGAGGTCCACTCGCATGCTGTGAGACCTGGATTTGCATGGCCGCCCAGACCTCTTGTTCCCATCCCAATACTTCTTGTTTCCAGAAACCATTGGGTACAGACGGAATATCGAAATCTCCTCTAGACATCATGGTGGTTACTTTACACGACATGACATTGACGGTAGCATGTAGCCAGACCGCTTTAACGATCAGTTGCAGCACCGCGCGTTGCACACTGTTCGCTTCGGGAAAATCGAAATCGCGGAACGTGTGGTAGGGAACACCTTCGAACCGGGTACACCAGTCTTCTTGACCGTCTCTAGCATGGCAATATTGAAGCTGGGTGATAGTTAGCATTCGCTTCCACCTGACTCTGCATGATTCACTCACATGCTGCGTACACCCCACACCCTTGATTGGATGATCCGCTAAATATTGCGAGAACGGTTTATCGTTTGCTGCGTCAATCTTCTTCACTTCTTTGTGTGCTGAGTAAAGGGGATCGTCGACAGGTTCCCCGAACTCTAGAGAGTTGGGCAAGAAAGGCTTCCAGAACACATCGCCTTCTGGCCCTTCAGCACTCAAAGGGTAGAAGCTTTCCTTCGGAAACCAGGTAGGAAGGACTGTGTTGTTTGGTCCGGCATAGAACATGCCGCCTCTTTGATAGATGAGTCAGTAAGCAGTATAATTGGCGTGTTATTGCGGTGGCTTACCGTGGAACCTTTGGATTGCCACTAACGTTGGACGCGACGAGGTAGGCAAGGAAGCTCTCGCCAGTATCAAGCGGAGGCGTGGGTCCATAGAAGATAGCTGCAACTTGCTCGCCTGGGAATATCTCTCGGAAGTCCGGTTTCCACATGGGCATGTATTTCAGGTCAATGACATCGTAGTATCCTTCAACCGGTAAGACAGTGCATTCGATCTTCTTTCGAAAGGTAACGCGATCTTTGGAGGGCAAGTTTAAACCGAAGGCTTTGCCTACGTCGACCAGGCCGGAATCGACACTAACGGCGTCCTCGGTATCGCACATGGTATCGTTGAATGGGCAAGGCACATTTTCGACTGTGAGTGGGACATTGGGCTTCGTGAAGACGTTACACGTCACAGGAAGTGATCCGTTACTGTAACAGTCCTGTGTATACGCTGGAGCAATTATATCGAGTTCGTTCGCATGTGTCCGCCATGCCGTTCCGATGAGGTTCGTGCTTCCACAGAAGGGGGGGTCGACCAGTACCTCGATAGCTCCAGTATCGACTATGAGCGAGGAGAACACTGAGGCTGCGATTGTCATAGTCGTGAAAACAACTGCAATGAGTACCAAGCACACTGATCGAAGGAAAGGCCGGTCTGCTTTTCTTCTCCAAGCCCACCATAGCTTTAGTGCTTCCGCAACTACAGAGCTGGGTGTTGGGAGCGTTCGCAGTAACGCTTGCTGCTGTCTGAAGAGTGGATCTGCTTCCTGGCCATTGGCTCGGATTTGATGGATCGCGAAAGCGATCAGATGCCACAGATGTGCGGTACCTGTCACTATCAGAACTTGAATTTGGTAGTTGGGCTGATTACCTTACCGAGTGTTGAAAGTATGGCTAGTAAGGCAACTACGAGGTTACCAGTCTGAGTATCGGTTGTGATTGTTCTTCCTAGGATGGGCCCGCCATCCACATTTGTCCTATAGTGTCCTGTCAGTAACTATCGAGAGACGACACGAAGCGCTACAATCGAGATACCTACCATGCACCTGTCTTAACATATCGCGAATCTAGCTCAAAAGACATGGCTGGTTAACAATCGCTAATGAAGATTACGAGTTGATGTGCTTGCTCGGAATTCTATGCAGCGGGAAGCATCATCTCTTTAATCCTATGAAGTCTGCTACAAAGCGCAGTAAAGCATCTTCAACGCTCAACCTGAAGGTGGCACAGTTGATCTACGATGCTTGGCGAGCGGTGCAACGAATAACGGATATCGAGGAAACGACGAATGGTGTTCCTGGCGCCTGGATCTCGACACAGTGGGCGTTGAGACCCGAGCTCGAAAACTAGTGCGCCATTTTTAGCTCTCCACGTTGTCCGGGGATGCTTGGCATGGTGTTTTGAGGAACTTCGGCGCCTAGAAGACTGCAAGCGCGATGTCGGCGCTAACGTGCATGTACACCCAGGCGCAGCTGTGCCATCTTCAAAGTCTCCAGGGACCATATTGTGAATAGGCGTGATAATTCACCTGAGAGACCTACTTGCCGCATGAACAGTCGAGTTGCGATGGACAAGCGCACTCGAAATGGGCAGGACTCCACTAGCCATTTCGGGCCGTTGCGACGTCGCGAGATCGGGAGAAAGTCAGACCATCGACATGGCATGTTGATACAGAAAACAGAATGGAGGAGTGACTCCCTCTCTATTCAGAGTTGAGACATCTACGGTTGTGTTCGAATCAAGACTGTGATGTTGTAGACAGGTTGGATGGGGTCACAAGGAGTTGCGAGAGGTGGTGGGTACCTAGGTACCGCCCGCCCTCAAATGATGCGCTAGTCCACTTTGAGACCCCCTGGGCCTGATCTAGAAGTCGCTCGATCTCGACGATTTTGCTGGTCACTGATGTTTCAGAGAGCGCTCTCTATATGCTTCCAGAAAAACTTCAGAATTGTCTGGGCCACGTTCGCTCCCGTCTTTCGACTCTCTAACTAAGCGACTGTCTGATTGACCGCAAGGTTGCACGCAACCGCATGGACCAGCATCGCTTGCATTTGCCGCACTGACTTGGCCAAGACACTATCAGAATCTGCCGTATGATCAACGTCCAGCATCGGGGATGTCAGACAGGCGGCCTGGTAGGCGAGTATTTTATCTGCAGCCTGTAACGCTTTCCGCCAGCTTGGCAGAGTGGCGGTGCATAAATGCTTCAGATGGCTGTGGAGTCAATGTCTACAGGCATCTACACGAGTTCGCCTTGTAATGCTAAAGTGCGCTTGTCGTTGTCCGCGCGATGAGCGTGAAGTACTATGTTAGATCATGGTAGTCACAGCCACATGCGCTATTCTTCACAGATTTGTCAGATGCAAAGTTGGGAAAGCTGCAAAAGTTGGTATGTACAATGACTAGATTCGTCTATGTAGTACATACTGCTAGAAGCCCACCGGTGCGGCTGCGCATGAGATCGTTCATAGCAGGATCACTTCGTACACAGCCAATACCCAATGCCCTTCTTCACCCCAGCCGGTCAATGCGATGAATAAAAGTATTGACAGCGAAATTAAGATCCGACACACTCCCCACTTGATGACAAAAAAAGAGACCAGTCCGTGCTGAAGCAGGTACATTGGATTATTATGGGGCAGCTAGAAGAGCCCAAAGATGAGACAGAAATGCCGCGGTAACTTTTCTCAAGAAGTACCAACGATGAGGGGTATCATGCAATCGCTATGCTCTCATGTGATGCTCTCTTGCTTGCTCTAGAATCGAAGCTTGGCTTCCCGGGAGTGAAGCTGGAAGCGCTTGTCGAGGGTGATGTCCTTAGCGATGACAGCAGCGGCGGCGCGGGCAGCTGGGCTACCGTTCAGACCGCTGTGGTCTGGCACGACATAGTTCTTGGTAAGACGCCTGGCAACGTTGCCATCAACACCGTTGCTGAGGAGTAGGTTTGCGCTTCCTGCAGTGTTACCCTTGACGTCACCCTGGCGGGCAGTCTCGAGGAGCTTGGCCTTGAGCGCAGCAGGGTTCTGACCAAGTCCAGCAACATCTTTGGTCATGAGAGTGGCCATGACACCAGTGACGTGAGGGCAAGCCATGGAGGTACCAGAGAGGAAGTTGATGACAGCGTCGCCAGTGGCCCATGAGCTGAGAATCTGCTCACCGGGAGCGTAGATGTCTACGCACTGACCGATGTTGGAGAAGGTGGAGATCTCGTTATCGATGTTGACAGAGCCGACAGTGACGACGTTGGAGTTCTTGCCACCAAGGTGAGCAGGAGTGCTGCCGCAAGCGTCAATACCGTCGTTACCAGCGGCAACTGAAACGTGAATGCCAGCGTCTGAAGCACCTTGGATAATCTCATCGACTGAGTTGGCGGTACCCTGAAGACCCCAGGACATGCTCATGATGGAGCCGACGAAGCCTGGCTGTGCCTTGCGCTTGTTGTGGTTGGCAATGACCCAGTCCATACCCTTGATGGTGTCAGAAGACGCACCAGAGCCGTCGTCTCCAAGAACCTTGACTTCGATGATGTTGGCGCCTTGAGCAACACCGAACTTAGCGCCACCGGCGGTACCAGCAACGTGAGTGCCGTGACCATCACCGTCAACGAAAGAACCAGTAGCGGTGAAACCTTCAGAAGCGCGTCCGGTGAACACAGCGTGGGAAGTGCGCACACCAGTGTCAATGACATAAATATCGACTCCGGCACCGAGGGCTGAATCGTCGAAAGAGTAGACAAAATCTTGGTCCTGAGGGGATCCCTTAGCGCCGGCTGCGCTCGAGACTCGCTGCAGACCCCAGGGAGCGCCTTGTTGTTCCGCGAAGGACTTAACGTCGGCCTTCTCTTCGACGACGTTGATCTCTGCCATGTCGGCGAAGATCTTGGCGTGCTCGTCGCACATTATGATAACGGCCCACTGGGGGTTGACACCCTCTGAAGATACAGCCTGAACACTGTCCGTCTTGCTGAGCTGCAGGAGGTCCACATAGTCGTCAATCTTTCTGGCGTCCGTGTCGTTACGCCACCAAGTGACGATGTACTCCTTCGTCTCCGTGGAGTGGTTCGCGGGTAGAGAGTATTTGCTGATGTAGCCGGGGTTGCTGGGTCCAGAAGCTGCAAAGACAGAAGCGCTGGCGGCCAGGAGACCGGCGGCGATAGCGAAGAAAGACTTCATGTTGATTACGGTAAGGATCCGGTCCGGTAAAAAGTTGTTGGAGGGGTAGAAGCGAAAGTGTAGCGGGCCTGGTAGTCACTGGCAATGAATGTGGAAGGAACGCTACAAGTGCAAGTCAGTGACAGGCCTGCTGTGAACAAACGACTAGTGAAGTGGTGGACCAGCGACCATCTTTGTCGGTTTATAACCGTGAACATAAGCGGTGTTGGGGCTACGCCTTTTAAGACAAGCATACAAAAGGGCTATAATAGCGCTGTGTGGGGTCGAGGTATATGGTAGGTTGAGGTAGGGCAGGCACACAATGTGCGGCAGCCTTGGGTTGGCAAAAGCTAGGGTACTCACATCAACGTGCAGGTGCGACGGAGTCGTGTATCAGGCAGGACGTGTCTGAGGAGGAAGGCGTATCGGCCAAGACGTGCCAGCACGCGAAAAGAAGAAAGGGAGGGTGGTGAAGGGAAGCAAAGTGAGTGAGAGACGAAAAAAGTGAGTGTTGAAGAGAGAGACAGAGCACTCCTAATGAATGGAAAGTGAATGTGGGGTTGTAGGAGCAAAGAAGGACCAAGACCGTTGGGAAGGAGTGATGGGAACCTGCCCAGGCGGACGAGACGGCCTCATGTACTCGCTTCGCAAGTGTCCAGGCCATAACCACCAAGCTCATCGTTGGAGCCTCCGCATGTGAAACGGCTTGGCTGTGGGCTTGTTCCCGCGAGCTACCAGGCCCAATTCACTACTGCGCGCCGGTAGCCAAGCCGCGACGGTCTGCATCAAATCGCTAACCAGGGGTAGGGCGGGCCCTAGGGACCCTCGACGCACGATTGGGGCGCCTCGGGAGATTGTTCGTGGTAGAGCGACGACTGGCCAATAGCCAACGTTGTATTGCATGGCCAACATTCATTTATTTGGGCGCACCAATCCGTTGTTGGTCGCACAATACCGTTCCCGGGCTTTCGAGTTGCTGAAATGGGAGATGCGGAAATTGAATGCAAACACTCGCCCCTGCCGCGTTGGTAGTTTGACTGACACAGAGGGAAGGAGCAGCCTTAGCCGACTCAAGCTTGATTGGCTGTCCGCTTCTGAAACAGCGTGGGCCTGCGTCACAACCCAAACCAGGCAAGCGCCCAGGGCCAATCCCCACATGATGCATGAACCTGCACTCAACGCAAGAAAATCCAGACAACAGTCCGCACGGCCAAGGGGCCCGTCTGCGCGTACAAAGATCATGCACGACCGCCAGCAGAGCCGTGGCGTCCTATGAACGCGTCAATGCCTGAGCCACTCGGCATCGCAACGGCTTTTCCTCTCTCTGCATCCAGTCGCCACCGTCGAGAGTGCATAGTTTGACGCGACACAACGGTCTCTCTCCGCAATGTGTCAAGCCGTCCACCATCCGGAAACTAAACACCCAGAGCCACATATCCGAATGGGGCGTTTCAATGTTTATTAAGGGGACTCGTACGAACTGATGGCGTTACACACCCGGTAACTGGGAACAGACGACTCTTCACACTGCACATTGTACCGCGTCTGTGTGCATAACTACGTCCCATGCAGTAGCCACACACCCCGAGTACTGGCAGAAGCGTCTTCACGACGTGCGCCCTTGCCGTAGTGCCTTGAACACAGCGTCCAGTTCCCCAACGTTTCGTCCTCGACTCGTACCACCCGAGGGTCTGTTTCGAGATGTCAGATATAGCACGCATAAGAAACACCACCCGCGCACCACCAATTACAAGACTACTTCAGCCTGAACAACAAGAACTGCGGCACAAACAACCATGACCTGTAAGGAGCAGTCTCACCTGTCAAAGAAAGAGGCATAAAGCTGTCAGAAACAAACAAGATGACAATGTTTGATCCGCGGCCTACTTTT